CGTGCCTAATTCAGCTCAGCCCAAGCCTCTAGTTAAAAGGACTTCATGTCTGTTCTCCTCTTTCAACTTACTGACTTTTTCCCCAGGTGGACAGAAGCAGCGAATTGCAATTGCTCGAGCTCTGCTCAAGGTAAGACTGCACCTGTTAATTAAGAAGTTACACAGTGTTTGTGAACTCTCATTTATTACATCTGTGGTTGAAATACTGATAGATCTGGTAGATTTTTCTTATTTTTTGTTTCTGGACAGTAAATTAGCAGGCAGACTCCAAGCAGCGGTTAGCTGACACACCATGAAAGATCCCTGCAACAGTAGTAAATAGGAGATTGAACTTCTGACTGCAGTGCTGCCAAGTATACGTTAAAAGTCTTCTCCCACGGCACTGCCACTAGGTTGTGTCTTTGAAATAGTCCCCAGTTAGTAGTGTTCTCTTTCTTTAGCTTGCAGAATCGGAGATGAAAGTGCTGTTTCCATTTTGCTGTCTCGGCCTGTGGACTTGCTAAATGTAGTTTTAGAGTGGCACCCTGATCTTTTGAAGAAATAATTGCTGTGCTGTACTAACACTGTATTTTTTATATATTCAGACCTTGTCCCATTGTAATTGTAACCAATTTTACTTTCTTCTTTAGAATCCCAAAATTCTTCTCTTAGATGAAGCAACAAGGTAAGAAAAAGTAAACAGAAACTTGTGATCTATCTGTAGAACAGAGATTTGGGCAGTGTTCTTTCTTTAGCTGCATGCCCTTGAACAATCTACCCAGCCTCTTATTTTTCTCTGCCCACAAGAAACTAAAATTCCAGAATGCATAAATTGGCAGGGAGATCTGTGCTGAAAGCTTTGCTTATGCAAAGTGGAAGGATAGCTGGAACGCTGTATTAATTTTTCCCCAAACTAGCTCTGTAATGTGCAACGTGGCTTTGAAGCAGGTGTTTCAAAAGCTAACCTGCTGTTAAAATAACATATTCCCCTTTCTCTCTACCCCCTTTCCCTCCGCCCCTTCTGCTCCTCATTTCTTTATAGTGCTTTGGATGCTGAAAATGAGTACCTAGTGCAGGAAGCCCTGGACCGGCTGATGGAAGGGAGGACAGTTCTAATCATTGCCCATCGTCTGTCTACCATTCAGAATGCTGATTTTGTGGCCGTCCTCGGTCAGGGCAAAATTCTCGAATGTGGAAAACATGAGGAACTCCTTGCAAATCCAAATGGACTTTTCAGGAAACTAATGCAGAAACAAGCTTTTCTCCAGAACAGCGATACTTTTGCACTAGACATACAATCCAGAGAAAATAATCTATTAAAAGAAAACGTATGAGGGAATGTACGAACGATGGAAGCTTACAAACTATGAAGAATGTAACTTATGTTCCAGTAATGTAAAGTAAATGTTATATTTTTCCAAAATGTACAAAGTATCCTTTTGAAACTTAAATGTGTTCAAACTTTGTATCGAAAGCTTTTTGATAATTATTGTCACTTTTTAAAATGTGTGTCGCATTCAGACAGTGTCAGAGGACAGATGTTTGTGCGTTGTGTCACATTAACCGAGGCCGTTTAGAACCATGCTTGCTGTAGTGCACTGTATGACAATGTGCTATGTTCTCAAGTAAATTCAGTATTTTAAGGGGAATCAAGTGACAGTCCGATCATTTTCACTTCATTGTCTCTTCCCTTTTCAAGAAACTTTTACGTTCGTGTTTGTTGCTCATCTTAAAAGGCTGGAATTCCAAAAATGCACGTTTCACTTACCATTTGCTCTGAGATAAGAGAACTTGATTAGGCTCACCATCTACAGTTAACAGAGAACTACAAATGAAAACTTGTCTATAGTGTACAGGAACAGATGTTGGAGGAAAGCTACTGAAAATACAAACAACTGACTTTACAATTAAGGACAAACAAAGTATAATTTTTGCAGTGTGTTTTTTCAGCGCAGGAAAAATCTAAGGTTTGCATGCATTTTCTTCCCTTTTCTACTTTCCCTGCTTTAGTTTTGCTTCTATTACAAGATGACATCCAAAAGAGGATGTTTTTACAAATGTGAGTTGTCCCTTTAAGGCGCATACACGTACATATTAAAGTCTGGTTTATGAAATTTTAATGTCTTAAAATTACATGTCTTAAAATTTCATAGAAATCTCAGATTTTGCCTAATCACCTCGTGTCACTTGCTCAAGGACAATTACTAAAATATGTTGTGGTAGCATGACATTAATTTGCACAACTGCAGGAAGTACGTTTGGCAGTGAAGAGTGGGCTTCACGTTTCTATTTTAAGAACCTCTTTAGTAGAATCTCTCTATGCTTTCTGAAGATACAAAGCACCACAAGAAATGTTTACAAAGCCAAACGCTTCACAGTGTCTCATCAGAGCTCCCTGTGCTAGGAAATCTGATGGCTGCTGGAAAGCCTTATTGGAAATAGGTGAGGTATCTAACACTGGGTAAGCTTAACATCCTTCTCTAATGTGCCTCTAAAAGCACATTATGGAACACGGTGAAAACACTGAAAAGATCCCTGCGCTACAGAATGAAAATAAGATATCTTCTGCTATAGTCTTAGGAGAAGAAGGGATTTTATTAAAGATACAACAAAAACACCACTGACCCAATGTTTAATTTCGTGTCGGCAATTACCCCCTTGATACTGTATCTAGAGAAGCTTGAACTTTAATCTTTATTCCTAATCTCTCTTTATGTGAGTGCAATCAGCCCTTTGGTTTGTGAGTTTAAACCATGTGATCACAAGAGTTAATTGCAGCTGAATTGAATCACTGTTCTATGTCTGTTGATCGTGAATTGTTCTGGAAGGCATTGCAGTCTACCAAAAAGTGAGAAGAGCTCTAGTTCGCAGCAAGTTGAATCTATGTTTCAAGAGCTACAGTGAATAGCAGACTGTACTCAAAATGTTCTTTGCACCAAACAAGCCAAGACAGCTTTGCTGGACAACTTCAGTTTTGTAGTTTACACATTTACACTGCATGTGACCCAGCCTCACTATGCATGTGGAATGCTGTATGTAAGCAGTAGATGTAGTCTACCTTGACTTCAGCTAGGCTTTTCACAGAATCACAGAATTGTAGGGGTAGGAAGGGACCTCTAGAGATCATCGAGACCAACCCCCCTGCCAAAGCAGGTTCCCTAAACCAGGTCGCACAGGTAGGCATCCAGGTGAGACTTGAACATCTCCAGAGAAGGAGACTCCATGACCTCCCTGGGCAGCCTGTTCCAGCGCTCCGTCACCTCACTGTAAAGAAGTTCTTGCGCACTTTGTGCGGAACTTCCTATGCTGCAGCTTATGTCCGTTTCCCCTTGTCCTGTCTCCACTCACCACTGAAAAGAGACTGGCCTCACCACTATGGCCCCCACACCTCAGAAATTTATAAACCTGGATTAGATCCCCTCTCAGTCGTCTTTTCTCAAGGCCAAATAGACCCAGTTCACTCAGCCTTTCCTCATAGGGGAGATGCTCCAGGCCCTTCACCATCTTTGTGGCCCTCCACTGGACTCTTTCCAAGAGATCCCTGTCTTTTTTGTACTGGGGAGCCCAGAACTGGACACAATACTGCAGATGAGGCCTTACCAGGGCAGAGTAGAAGGGGAGGATCACCTCCCTCGACCTACTGGCCACACTCTTTTTAATGCACCCCAGAATGCCATTGGCCTTTTTGGCCACGATGACATCCTGATAATAAAGCTGAGAGTGTGGGATAGATGAGTGGATGGTGAGGTGGGTTGAGAAGTGGCTGACTGGCTGAGCTCAGAGGGTGGTGATCTTTGATGCAGAGTCTGGTTGGAGATCTGTGTCTGGCAGTGTCCCCCAGGGGGCAGTGCTGGGTCCGATCTTGTTCAGTATCTTCATTGACAACCTTGATAAGGGGGTAGTGATAGTGTCCACCCTCAGTAAGCACGCTGATGATACAATGCTGGGAGGAGTGCCTGACACACCTGAAGGCTGTGCTGCCATTCAGCAAGACCTGGACCGGCTGGACAGCTGGGCAGTAAGAAACCAGGTAAGGTTAACAAAAGCAAGTATAGAGTCTTGCACCTGGGAAGGAATAACTACATGTATCAGTACAGGCTGTGGGATGAGCTGCTGGAGAGGAGCTCTGCAGAGAAGGACCTGGGTGTCCAGGTGGACAATAGGTTGGTCATGAGCCGGCAGGGTGCTCTGGTGGCCAAGGCCAATGGGATCCTGGGATGCATTAAAAGGAATGTGACCAGCAGGTCAAGGGAGGTGATCCTCCCCCTCTACTCTGTCCTGGTCAGGCCTCACCTGGAGTACTGCTTACAAGAAAAATGCGTAGTACTGCTTAAAAGAAAAGTGCGTATGGAGCCTGGCAAACACTGTTGCAAATCATATAGATACGAGTACCTCCATGTTTATTGTGGTCTGTTGAAGAAAGTAACACAAAATGTAACAATGTGAATCCCAGGATGCCATTGGCCCTCTTGGCCACCAGAGCACCCTGCCGGCTCATGACCAACCTGTCGTCCACCACGACACCCAGGTCCCTCTCTGTAGAGCTCCTCTCCAGCAGCTCATCCCCCAACCTGTAGCGGTGCATGCAATTATTCCTCCCCAGATGCAAGACTCTACACTTGCTTTCATTAAACCTCATCCGTTTTTTTTCTGCCCAGCTCTCCAGCCTGTCCAGGTCTCGCTGAATGGCAGTACAGCCTTCAGGTGTGTCAGTCAATCCTCCCAACTTTGTATCATCAGCAAACTTGCTGAGGGTGGCCACTATCCCCTCATCAAGGTCATTGATGAAGATGTTGGACAAGATCGGACCCAGCACCAACCGCTGAGGAACACTACTGGTTACAGTGGCCCATGACAATTCCTCTTTACTCAGTGCAGCCCAGGCAAACCAGAAGGTAGGACACTCGCACTGTACACCATGTTCAGTGCAGCTGGTACCCTCAGGTCCAGGCTGCCTTTCTCTGCAGTGGTCCATTTGCCTGGCTTGCATGCCAAGCAAGAGATTCCCTGAAGGGGAAACTTTTCATCCCAGCTGCCAAGAGTTGTTTCTGCTACTGATACATCTTATTTTGGAATCCCCATTTGGTATCCTCCTTTAGCCGTGTTTCACACCACTGTTACAATGAGAAAAAATGTAGCCAAGGACAGAAGGAAATGGGTTCAGCAAACATTCAGCGCAGTGTGTAGCACTGAGGTGAGCATTTCCAACCACGGTGTGTAAATAAATGACAAAATACAAGCAAATCTTAAACACAAGGACGACTTGAGTTTACAATTAAATGGT